ATGGCAAGCAAGGCAGAACCTGTGAGGTCTCCTGGGGCAAGGGCTCAGGTCTCCCTTCTCCCTCAAAGTTTCCAGATGTGAAAGTCTTGAGCTTGGCCATTATTCCTCCCCTGCCTGCAGCCAGAGAAGCCACATACCTTTTATGTGTAACAGCTTCCAGTTCAAAGATGTTGAACTCCCAACTTTCCTCATTATCAAGTAATTGAGCAATACAAGGGGGGACATCATTGATGGTTATTGGCATTGCAAGGTGACTGTGACTCTGGTGCACATCTGGGCAAACAGATGGGGTGGGGGAGGCTGGTTAATTGTGGAATCTTGAGTGCCCTGAGCATTTGTCATCATCTTCATGGCTGCTACTATATAAAGAAGTCTTGAACTTCCAAGGGTAGGAAGATTTTCACTTCAGGGTTCTTCTGTTACTAAATCTCAAGATCCCCCCAAATAGAAAAATAATTCAGTTTAACTGTCTTTTTAAATGTAGAGAGATCTGCAATTCTTATTCTGACAGTATTCAGAGAAGTAACTTTAATTAGGAAAACGGTTTCAAATATAGACCATAGTGATGTTTAAACTCCAATGAGACCAACAAGAAGTAGGACCAAGGTCCTCCCTGCAAAATAATCACAAAACTGGGGAAGGCACAGGCTGGATGGAGACAAGTTACCAGTAACAAGTGGATAGATGATAACTTACTCTTAGTGAACACATACTCATTTCCTGACAACCTTCTCAAGCCATCCTGGAATTAAGAAAGATGTTATTAGAAGCATGCTTTATATGCCTTATCATTTTCTCATTTCTTTGTTTGGCAAAGAGATTTGAATCCCGAATAACCTGGTCAATCTGGAACTCCAAGTTGAAGCTCAAAATTAAATCTGAACAACAGCTGCAAGACAGGATATTCTTCCTTCCCTGGCCATTTAGCCCCAGGAGAAGGGGAACCGAGTTGGCTCTGTTCTCAGGCCAGTTTTCTCTTCTGGCACTCTGGAGCCACATTAGTGAGACCACAGAGTGATCTTGCTTTGGATACATGTGATTTTGAATGGACCCCACTTACCCTCATAGGGACTGCATTATTTAATTTACATATTAGGGAGCCATGGGCCACATTTTGGGGATGCTTTAAAGCCTTAAAATTTGGGGGCAAATTTTTGACTCGTATCTAAATTCTTATTTTTTCCAACTGTATTTTCTATTTTGCAACATGAACGTTGCTAATAGACTTTTTAAAACTTTTTGGATTTGAGGTCTTTGGAGGGACAGCGTAAGGGAGTGGACAGAATTCTAATATTCTGCCATTTACTAGGCTCTTGAACTTGTCTCCAGATGTTCTTGCATCTCAGTTTCCTTCCCTTCTACCTGAGTACCTAGTTATCTAGGTCTTTGCTTAAAAGCCATTTATAATTGCTTGTTATCCCTAGAAAGCGTGTGCTAAGGTTTAAAGCATTAATGCGGGGCTCCCTGGAAGTCACACCTTGAATCTTTAGGCCAAGAGCTTAATTTTTACAACCAGATAAAAAGATAAGTAAAAATGGCCACGACTGTCCTGCCTTTAGGCAGATATCACAAGGGACTCCTGTTTTTTGCCTTTTTTTGGTCTTCCCTAAAGCTACACAAAAATGGGTGGAGTCCTGCATTACCTGGAGAGGAACCCTAGGATGGGATGGCAGAAGGGCGAAGGAGTGCAAATAACTCGTTCTAGGAACCAGCATCCTCCCGCTGCAGCTCTGCAGTGGCTCTTCTCCTGAAAGACCATTGTCAGGGTTCCCTATAACTGAAGTCTCCACTGCACTGGGGTGAGGCAACAAAGGACAGTGCAGAGGCAGGAAAGGAACAGGAGGTCACTCAAATTATAGGCTCATTAGAGACCTTTAGTAGGAACAAGAAGAACCGGCCAGAAAGCCAGTCAACTCAGCATTTAATGGCAGGGCTAGACACAAATCTTTAAAATAAAACTAAAGATGACTCTTGGACTGTGTTTTTTTCCCCCCCAAAGAATTCTTCCACCTTCAGCCTCTGATAAGGAGCACAAATGGAATAATCTGAATTTTCTTCTTTTTCTTCACTTGTTGATAAATGATGATTACAGCCAAATAGATCACAGTAAAACACTACAACAGGATGAGTCTTTTGAAATCAGCTACTGTTGGTGGTTACAAACGACGGTGCTGGACTGCTGGCAGGGGAGGCTCCTCCTCCCCTCCCCCACCAAGGCAGAACAGCTCTATCCTGCTTTGTCCTATTATAAAGGACACTTCTACATAAGCTCTGATTTAAAGAAAGGATTCTACAGCTTAGATTTTGGAAACCAGTTCTGCTGTCTAAGTACAAACCCTTTCATTATATAAAGAGCCTGAGGTCCAAGGAAACCTAGCCATAACCCCCAACCAATCTGATATTGTACCAGGTCGAGGGGAAGAAGTAAACAAAGGACCCATCATTCATAACTTCACCCTCAATTGACTCCTTACTGTAATACAAATTCTGAAGGACCATCCCCATGCTGTGGTCAGTCAGCTTTACAAATCTTCCACAGAAAGATAAGTGTAGGAATTACTTGAATAATACCACACATGCAAATTTTGATGCAGGTGCTCTGGTTATGCTGATGTTAGTCCATACAACAGGTGTTTCTGCAACTATAGGTAACAGTATGTGTTACGTGTCACATGCACTCTGGAGTGCACGTCATGTCGTCTCCCCTGCATTTCTGGTTTTCCGCATCACTCACAGTCATCAGGCCTCCAACAAGATCACTGGTGTGAGGATCTTCATCTTTGGTACCCAACTGAGGGGAGTACAGTTCCGTGGTCCGTAAAATTTCTAAAACTCTGTCCAAGGCTTCTGCTACTGTGACGGGGCTGTTTTCTTGGGCTGCATTGATTATATTTATAACCTAGGAGGTAAAGAAAAAGAATGCATTTGATGCCATAAGGACTCTACTTCCCAAAAGTCATACATGTACCCAGAATCCAAAAGAAATCAGACGATAACACATCATTCAAAGTGACCTGTGCTTTCCCAACCCTACTGCTTTCTTACCAAGAGATGCTGTTCATCTCGCCCTTGCTGGTGTCTGTTTTCTCAGGCTCCTTTGCAGATCTCTCTCCTCGAGCTGTCTTACAGAGATTGGTGCTGGGCCTTTCACTCTACGGCCCTTCCAGAGATGAGCACTTTCACTTCCACAGCTTTGGACACCTACGATCTGTATGCCAAGGACTCTCGAATTTACATCCTAGCCTTGAACTCTTTGTGACCTTCAGTCTTGTATATCCAGTTACCTACCTGACATATCTACTGGATTATCTTACTTACATGTCCAAAACTAAACTCATGATCTTGCTCCCCTCTCCCCAATCAAGTAAATAAATATAACAAAAAAATGAAAGACAAGAGCTGTGCTCCTTTCTCTGACTTGTACACTGCAGTAAAAAACAAAAACAAAAACAAAAAATCACTTCTATCCACTTTGTGCTCAAACTAAAACTTTGAGAAGCCCTGGTTTACATATCACTTTCCCTCATTGCTCTCCTCGATCGGACAACATAATCACCAAATCAAACTGATTCTACCCCTACATATTTCCTGATCTCTTCATTTTTCTCCACCTTCATTGCTATAATTCTACTGTAGTTAATTAACACCGATTCTTGTCTGAAATTCTGGAAGAGCCCACTAATTTGCCTCTTCTCTTTCACTCTTACCATCTCCAATCCATTCTCTACTTGATGGCTGGATATTCTTTACAGTAAGCATACCTGATCGCGTAACTCTTCCGCTTTAAACTCTTCACTGGTTTCCCTTACACATAAACTAAAATATAAATGCCTTATTATAGCACAATCGGCCAGAATGAACTGAGCCCTGCAAAGTCACATCACCACCCTCTTCCTTCTGCTCTCCAAGCTCCAGCCACCCTGACTTTCTTTCACGTCCTCAAATGCTCCAATTCCCCTTTTCCCACCTCAGAGCTTCATCCCTTTCTGTGTCTTTTTGACCCAGATCCTCTTCTCCCCCTCACTTCCAATATCTTTGCATGCTTCAGGTCTTACTTCAAACATTACTTCCTCTACAGAGAGACCCTCCCTGATCACCCCCTCACCCAACCAAAATAGAGCCCTAATTTCCTCTCATAGAACCCTGTTGTTTTCCTTTAATTTATAACTACATATTTATTTATGTGTTTGTTTTATACCTGTTTCTTCTACTAAGCTCTGATATCAGTGGTATGTCATTCATCATTTTATCTCCAAAACATAGCTCAGGCCTAGGTGACCCTGACTGTAGAGTGGAGCTGCCACTCACCTTTGTGATGGGAGCCTCGATGGTCATGGAGTGGATCCTTGCCATGGATGGATAGCGACGATTCTGTAGGCTCGGTGCTGCAAAGAAGCCAAGAAAGCTGTATCTGGTTCTGGGGGCTCGCTTGTCCAAGTGCAGCAAAGGAGTCCTCCATGGACTGGGGTCCTGGTTCTCAAAGGACTACTGTCCCCCCACAAAGCAGTCAATTTACCCATCTCTTAATCCTCAGCTACTACTTGCCAGAGTCTGGAAAGGTGCTCTGGCCTGGATCTTTGGTAGCAGGAAGGCTGTACAAGCCCCAGGTCCATAAGGGGAATTTCAGAGAAGGTGGATGGAGTTCTGTGGCCCCATCCCACCAGCTCAATGATTCCCCAGGACTCACTTTCCTATAAGTCGCTAAAGCCCAACATGGGCAGTTCCATCGCTGTCAGTCCTCAGCCGCTGGTCATGTAACTGGATAGCTATGCGGTGTGGGAGGGGTGGCATGGCCCAGGATGAGGGGGTGCAGGAGAATGAGCCCACACGCAGAGTGAGTGAGGGCCAGGCACTCCACCTCCCTGAGCCTACCTCCAACACCCAGAACTCACAGTGGTTCTAGCTCTAATCTGTAGAAACTTTCATTTTAAAATAAAGTTGGTTTTTGTTTTGTTTTGTTTTGTTTTTTGAATAGGTAATGCTTACATGTGGTTCAAAACTCAAAAGGGAGAAGCTTTACTTTAAAAGACATTCTCGTCAGATCTTCCTACCACTTCCTGTGAGTCAGGCAGGAGGGATGGAATCCGCATGTTACAGACGGGGGCACTTAATCTAGCCATTAGCAACAGAGCAGGCCTGCTGCTCAGCCATCTTTCTGCTGCCAGAGCAGCCGCATTACAGATCTCTTCTTTACTCTTCAACCTTCACTTCTCCCGTGTTCTGGAGAGATGATGATCCCATTTCAAACTCTACTCTGAAAACTCATCTACTTGAAATTCCCTCATCCATTATCCTCTCCACCTCGAACATATCTACGCCCTCGATCCATTTGAAAACATTTCAGTCCCTCTTTTTTACCATCTTGGTCCCAATCACTTGCATGCCCTGTGATTTATCCGTCTTCCTTCAGGAATTATCCATCTTATCCCTAGAGTCTTTGGTTCCTGCTAGTCCTTCATACTCAGGTTTCTCACTGTGAACTGAAGGACTTAAAAATCCTTCACTTGCCCTTCCTGTTCCCTTAAGTAACCACCCCACTTTTCTCCTTTCTATCAGAGTCAGTAACCCTCCCTTCCTCATACCCCTAGATAAAAACTAACTGAATGAGTGAAATCCATTAATCTGTTCTCAGCCCTTAAGCTCACTGATCTCTGCAGCATTTATCACTGCTAGCCATCTTCTTTCTTTCGCTACCCTCCTGTTCTTGGTTCATGAGACACTAAATTCACAGAGTTCACCCTCAGCCCTTCTTTCCTCTCCATTCGCCCTATTTCTCCTGCTGAGGGTGAACTTTCAAGCCTTGGACTTAGTCTCTGTCCTTCTGTCTCTCTGTCCCTCTCCTCTCCTCTCTCTCCCCCTCCCTCCCTCCCTCCCTCCTTTTCTCTCTCTCTAACTCGTTCTATTTTTTATTCTCGTTCACTCATATACACACGCACACACACACTAATCACA